ATTGTAATATTTGCTTTAGCCATTCAGTTAAGATTTTTTCAGTTCAAGTTCTCTGTCTAGCTAGTCCCACAGGATCTTAGCCCTGTTATTCTCCATGACCTTCTGTGGAATATCCCATCCGGACTTGGGAGGGTCTAGCCCATGCACTATGCAGATATTCCTGTATACAATGCCAGCTATTTGGTTGTGCTATTCAGTGTATGCTGTTCCTGCCTTCATGTTACACCCTGCCAGTATGTGTTGGACTGTTTCTGAGGTCTCTCTGCACAGTCTGCACCATGGATCCTGTCAAGTGTGGTAGACCTTGCTTCTATGGATTCGGTGCTTAGTGCCTGTTCTTGTGGTGCTATGATTAGTGCCTCAGTGCTGTCTTTTAGTCCAGCCCTTTCTAGCCACTGGTAGGATTTCCCAATGTTAGCCACCTCAACTATCTGTTGTTGGTACATCCCATGCAGGGGCTTGTCTTGCCATGGCACTTCTTTCACTTGAACTTCCTCCCATGTCTGCTGCTGCCTGAGGCATTCTCTCAGCAGCTCATCCCGGGGTGCCATCTTACTGATGTACTTCTCAGTGCTCTGGGTTTTGTTCAGGACAGTGGCTTTGACGCTGATCAGACCCCGCCTTCCCTCTTTCTGGCTGGTGTAGTCTCTGGATGTTGGACTTGGGGTGGAAACCTCCATATATTGTGAGGAGTTTCTGGGTCTTCACATCAGTAGCCTCCATGTCCTCCTTTGGCCAGTTCACTATACCAGCAGGGTATCTGATGACTGGCAGGGCATATATGTTGATGGCCTGTATCTTGTTTTTCCCAACATGGTTTCAGGTCCTGGAAGAACATTATTACATTCTCATCTTCTAATTACTATATTTCACTGCTATTCTGAGTTTGTTTCTCTAAGTCCATCTTAAAATAAGGTATCCAGAAATGTACATACTTCTTGATGTGGTATCTGGCCTGAGCAAAATCAAATGGAATGACTACTCCTGTGATTTAGAAACTCTTTGGTACTGCTGAAAATTGTATGTCTTTTGTGTAGTTGCATCACCCTACTGGTTCATATTGTTTGCTACTACTATTCCAAGGTGTTTTTCACAAGTAACATTAAAAAGCCAGGTATTCCCCATTGTATAACTTTGCCTTTGATTTTGTTGTTGCTGTCATCATTCCTACATGAAGAATTTTGCATTGTCTGTTAAATTATATTTTGTTACTTTCAGCTCCTCAGATTTTTTAAACTGCTCTACAGAACCTTAGAATTCCACAAGTTTGATGGGGTTCTGTGAGAGACTAAGAGGTAAAAAAAAGTTAAATTGAATATAGCCAATTTTCAGTCTCTAGAGCTTTGCCTGTTCATCAGGGGTTCCAGTAATTAGAAACAAATTCCATAACCTAAAAAAATTTGAAAACCCTACTCTAAGCTATTAAGATTTTTTTTTAAAAGAAAATCTACTGTTACCTATTATGCCCAATTTAATTTCATCTGCAGATTTGATAAACATTTCCACCCTTCACCCAACTTCTTAGCGGAGAGTAAGGACAGGATTGAACCTTGTGGCATTCCACTTAAGTTTCCAATTTAATGAGGAACCAATGAAGAGAAAACGTTGAGTACAAAAACCAAACCAGCTATGCATCTATTTAATTGTTTGGGCCAATTAAGTGTACTAGCCTACACTTAACTAGTATTTATGAGGTTGTTATTATTATTTAAATTTTTTGACCACCCATCTCCCGCCAAGGGGAGATTAGTATCCCCAGTCCCTAAATGTAAAAAGGATGCATTGATAAAGAAAATGAATGCTATCATTGATAACTATTATTTATGTGGAAATATTTCAGAAACATATTGGCTTGACAAAGGCCTCAGTGTATATCGCCAGGGAGATGGCCTTAAAGCAAATATTCAGAAACCATTATATAAACAAAAAGGACAGAAGCATTACGAGTTCTGGAAAGGGTGATAGTATTAAGAGACTCAATCCGACTTTCCTGACTCACTTGGGAATGGGGGTCACAAAAGCACAAGCAGACTAGCAAGATTCTATTAATATAGTCTACCTCAGTAAGTACAGCTCTAGTCTTCTAAGAGTCCTTTCTTGATCTAGTCTACTTACAGGGTTGACATTCCAGACAAAGCATCACCCCAAATGAAAGCCAGTACGAGGTCTGATTTTTCAAAGATAATTTAGTATACAGCTGAACAGGGTCTGATAAAGAGATAATGCAGTCAAGGTTTTTGTTTTTGCACATCTATGAGAATAGGACAGAGATAAGAATACAATTCTTTAATTATTTGGAAATAAAAGCCATCAACTGGATGGGGCTTCTCAATAAATATACATAGGACTAGTTATTCAATTAGCTGTACTTTAAGATAACACATTTTACTTAGTTTTAATATGGTACTGATCAAACCCATCTACTGCATTAACTTTTTTTCATAATTCAATTAACTGGAATGCATAACTTCAGGCTATCATGCTATTCCATTTCCAGATGTTTAATATCAAGTGATAGAAGAGTTAAAAGTTTGATAGAGCCTGAGAGCTTATCAGTTTGTTACTGCTGGACTTAAATCTTTAAGCTTGTGTTGATCAGCTACCAGGATGTAAGTACCAAAAATATTTTTCTTTCAATGTAAATTAACTTGGTGTCTCTCGGGATCAATATGGTTAAGGTTGATCATGGTAACAATTATACTTTCACTTATTCACATTGCTTTAATTAACATAAAATTCCACATATACAATCAGTGACATCCCTAATATCATTTTCATTATGAACATACATGCTAAGATCCAATAACACTTTAATGACTATTTCTGAATACCCATTTTTATAGGTTTTCAAAAGGCCTAGAAGAATGAAAGGGAGAAATAAGGAATGGATGGATATGTTTCTGAGAGGCATAAAGTTTTACATAAAACTTTATTTTATGCTTTGCTCAAAGTTTATAGAAACTGTTTCAAGGAATATTTTTAAAGCTATTTTAAATAATAGCTATTAAATCAAACTTGCTAGAACATTTAAATGTTTATTTGAAACTGAACAAGTGAACTTGAAGTACCAAATATTTAAATGTTTATCATCTGACATAGCTTAATATTCTTCTCCTTCTTCAGCTTCAGCTTCCACAGAATCAACACCAACTTCTTCATAATCTTTTTCAAGGGCAGCCAGATCCTCTCGGGCTTCAGAAAATTCTCCTTCTTCCATTCCTTCCCCAACATACCAATGCACAAAGGCTCTCTTAGCATACATCAGATCAAATTTATGATCAAGGCGAGCCCAAGCTTCTGCAATTGCAGTTGTGTTACTCAGCATACATACAGCACGTTGTACCTTGGCCAAATCTCCTCCTGGTACTACGGTGGGTGGCTGGTAGTTGATGCCCACCTAAAGGGATGCAAAAATATTAAGTTTTCCTCAATATTTCAATACTGAGGAAATATTCCTCAATATTTTAATATTTCCTCAATTATTTCAAACTCCAACTTCTTCCCTTTTTCCCACTGTACTTTGTGGATCAAAGCATCATGGCAAATAAAAATTTAGACATGAAACTCAAGTATCTTTCATGATTTCTGAATCAGAAAGGAAGCTGGACTGGATGCAGATAATGTATTCACATCTACCTCATAAATAAATAAAAGCAAACCCTCAATCTATGCAATCCATGAAAATGCCTCACTTTATCATGACAGAGATATCACATTAATAAACAGAATGATTAAGGTCCTAATTCGCTTAAATATACTAAAACTCAAGTAAGTACACCACCTTATCATTTAGAATGCAGTTTATTATTTGATCTATTTAAGTACAGCTACACTTTAATAACTAAAAAAATGCAATTTGGTGTATCTTCTCAAATTTCACAGGAATTGTAGCACCACACACACATTAGTTATTACCACTGATCACTTATTTTCAGGAGAGAAAAAAACAGTATCCCTTCCTCATAGTGTGGTATTGTGATTAAGATGTTAGACAAGGGCTGAGGAGACCCAGGTTCAAGTCTACCTGTAGCCACAAAAGCTCCCAGTATGACTCTGGGCCAGTCACTTACTCTCAACCTAACCTACCTCACAGGATTGTTATGGGAAAAATTGGATGAGAGAGTGTATATCACCTTGGAGGAAAGATGGATATACATCTAACCAATAAATAAATGCCAATCAACATTTTCAGAACTGGTTGCATCTATCACCTCATCTGCAGAAGAAAAAACAGTACTGCTGTATTCAAATGTCTGTGACAAAATCCCTTCATGTGGAAGTAGTTATATGGTAAATGCAATCTTATACATATATATTAAGTTGCACCCAATCCAGTGGAACTAACTAAGATTATACCCAGTTTGTTTATATTAGACAATACAGTACCTTGAACCCAGTTGGACACCAATCCACAAACTGTATAGTACGTTTCGTCTTGATTGTTGCAATGGCTGCATTGACATCTTTTGGCACAACATCACCTCTGTACAGCATACAACATGCCATATATTTACCATGGCGAGGATCACATTTTACCATCTGATTAGCGGGCTCAAAACAAGCATTAGTAATTTCAGCCACTGACAACTGCTCGTGGTATGCCTTTTCAGCTGAGATGACAGGAGCATATGTTGCCAACGGGAAATGGATTCGTGGGTAAGGAACAAGATTTGTTTGAAATTCTGTCAAATCTACATTCAGAGCACCATCAAAACGTAGTGAAGCTGTGATAGAGGATACAATTTGACCAATGAGACGATTGAGGTTGGTGTAAGTTGGACGTTCAATGTCAAGATTGCGTCGACAAATATCATAAATAGCTTCATTATCCACCATGAATGCACAGTCAGAATGCTCCAATGTGGTATGTGTAGTAAGGATAGAATTGTAAGGCTCCACTACAGCAGTAGATACTTGTGGAGCTGGGTATATTGCAAACTCCAGTTTGGATTTTTTCCCATAGTCAACTGAGAGTCTTTCCATAAGCAAAGATGCAAATCCAGAGCCTGTGCCTCCACCAAAACTATGGAAAATAAGGAAACCCTGTAGACCAGTGCACAGATCAGCCTAGGGAAAGACAAATAACCCCCCAAAAACCAACAAAAAATGAAGTCATTGAACAAAATACTTAATTTCAACAGTACATATTTAACATGTAGACAATATTTTTTGGCACTGTGTCAATTTAAAACATTGGCTTATTATAAATACTCTTCAAACAGTTAATTAAAAAAAATACAGCATACTTTCTAAACATGCATTCCTTATTTGAACAGACCAAGTATTTTTTTAATATGGTACTTTTGAAAATACAAGAAAACTGGAATTTCTATGCTCCTGATTTTAAAAAGGTAAAATTTCTATTTGCAGGTATTTTCTAATCCTCATCTTATTATGACTCACCAATTTTCGAATGCGATCCAGCACTAGATCAACAATCTCTTTTCCTATGGTATAATGGCCTCTAGCATAATTGTTAGCAGCATCTTCTTTTCCAGTAATGAGTTGCTCAGGATGAAATAACTGTCTGTAAGTACCTGTACGCACTTCATCTTTGAAGATTAAAAAACAAAACTTTATTAATTCTTCTCATTCAAAATTCTATGTTTGCTTATTTCTAATAATATTCTACAAAGTCAGAAATAATGTATTCATCATTTACGTCAGTCTGACTATATTCAACAGGTCTTATTCTTAGTTAAGCATATGTATGATTTTACATTCTCTAAAAATATTATAAAATTGAGAATGCCTCAAACTTATCAGATCATTTCTGGCTAATATTTCTGAACAAAGGAATATGGGTTCCTTTCTGCAGGAGGTAAAACTAACCATATCTGCTTCAGATAGAAGACTTTCAGCATGAAAATATTTTGTGTTAGTTCAAAAGGTGATGTCTGCCCTGACTTCTGGTGACTACATGGATACATGTTTTTTTTCTTGGCAAGAAACAAAATTGTGTTATAAAAAATTGAACAAAGTAAACCCCTATTGTTTTTAATACATATTAATATAAGGGATAAATTTAAGTCATTCTACTGCACTTCCACTAGCAAAACAGAACTTCCTCCTTTCATGCTTCCTCAAAATCTGGTTTAGAATGGTGAGAATAAATTTTAAGGGGTAGGGGAAGCTAAGGGAAGAGAGGATGAATGAAATCACTTCTAATGTTACCATTTTTTTGCTAACAGCATACAATTTGATTTCATCTCATAAAGTCAATGTATGAAAGTCACACTTAATGGGGGCTTATTTTACAATTGCTTTCACCAGATTTCAGGTTTGTTTAGTAAAAAAACCCACTTGCTTTCTTAATGCTAAACGATGATATGCAAACAACTCCACCAAAACCAGGAAAGGCTCAATACCTGGATATAATTAAATAATGTATGTATGTATGTGTGTGTATAATGTAAGTTATTTCTGATCATCCAAAATGTGCACATATTGGCCCCCAAAAGTATTCTCAAACCCATATACATACCAACAACAGTTGGCTCAAGGTCCACAAAAACAGCTCTAGGTACATGCTTGCCAGCACCCGTTTCACTAAAAAAAGTGTTAAAGGAATCATCTCCACCTCCTATGGTTTTGTCACTGGGCATCTGACCATCTGGCTGGATTCCATGTTCAAGACAATACAATTCCCAGCAAGCATTACCAATCTGAACTCCAGCTTGTCCAACATGGATAGAGATACATTCACGCTGTTAAAAAATTGTAAAATTTTAAAAAAGGCAAGATTAATGTTTATTTCTGGAAATACTAATAATAAAGAAGCACCACAAAAATGCATATTGACCTAGCTCTGCATTTTGATAATGTACCTATTAGATTTCTAATGTGCTATATTTTAAAATATGTACTACTTTATCAATTGCCCTTAGGACCCCCAAGTTAAAAAATGGTCTTTGAGAATGTTTAATAACACTCCTAAAGAGTACACTTTCTCTACGGCCTACTAAGCTTACACATTATACACTCGGTGCAATTATATAAAACATCTTTTGTCTCAACTTTATGCAGTACCTCCTACTTCAGCCCCTCGTATAATATGCCTCATTCTTCGCCACTACTTTACATTAGACTGCCTACTTTTTATTTTGTTAACTAAGCTCTCTCCCACCGGCTTCTTGTAACGCCAAATAACTGGACTCTAAATCCAGCAATGCGGCAGACGCACTGCTCTCTCGTGTCTTGCTGATTCACGCCTCTTCAGCACCAAGACCATTATATTCTTCCTCCCCCACCCCCTTTTCCGCTCCGCACCATGGCAAGTCCAAGGCGGAGCGCCTTTCAGCCTTCGTGCCTTGCCAAATACAAGAGCGCCAACAATGTGCGGCCAACCGACGTCCTCGACAGAACTGCGCCTTTCGGAGGTCGCGAAGCCTCGACTGCTTGAGGCGAAGCTCGCGCGGGAGGCTCGCACGAGGCAACATTCGACAATCTGGTCTTCCTCTCTTCTTCCCTGCACGCCATTCTCGTACCCTACACTCGCAATTCCCTCATAGCATTAATACGCTCTGAGCCAAGAGGCTTAAGGAGCTGCCATGACCCCGCTCCCCCTTGAACGAAGCCCAGCCACCGAAGTCCCACTTCCCACCATGGTGCCTCGCGAAGATGACGAAGTTCACTGCCTCCCCTCGTGGGTTCGACGTTCAACACCCGTTTGAAGGTGTCCTCAACTGTCGACCGTTAGGGCAACGGTTCCTTGACCGTGAACCCCTACTGCAGCCTGCTATTCCCCATTGGCGGAGGCTATTTAACTCCTGGAAGCTGATTGGTTGCACAAGTTTTTTTTTTAAAATGTGGGAAGAACCTCGAGTGATGGGGAATCAGAGACCGGTGGAATTTTGAGCGGGAAATGGCTCCTCCGCTGAAGGATAGGCTGAATGGCTATTATGACTGGGCGGCTGTTAGGATCGGGAAACAGTTCATGGATCCTCCTGCCGCAAGCCTAAATTTAAAAAAGAACAAAGAAAAAAGTGGAATTTCTTAGTGTGTGGTTCTTGATACGTTCTGATATATTATTTCACTACTATATTTTTCACACTTTCATGAAAGCCAGAATCCACATTTTGTAGTTAGAGGCTACTTCTGTCTAATCCCAACACTAAAATAAATACCATAGATAGATAGTGAATGAATGGATGAATGGATGAATGAATGAATGATAGACGGATATTGGTATCTTAAAAAAGAAACAAGTATTGTTGCATAATTTTTTCCTGGGATAACATTCAGTAAAACCTGATTTAATATAGCAGTTATTCTCTAAGATTATTGTTGATATGTACATTTTTTGTATGTAACAATGTGCATCATGCAGTCCAATCAGAATAGAATCAGGTCTAAGTAGTTAAATATTTTAATATTATGTTTAAATGCCATTGCTTTCCAATCTTTTTTGCCTGTCTGGATACAAACCACTAACAGTTATAAAGAAAATAGTAACTCCACTTGCTTACTGTTGTAAGCAGTTACAGTACTCTGTTTGGAAACTTCACTTGCTCATTCTCAGCCAATGGACATTTCACAATTATCTTTTAAATTACTTTTAATTAAGACTGCTTAGAAGTGCAGCCCAACTGACAAAATGCATTGCATTCATGTATTGCATTTTTGAAACTATAAACAAGCAATTAACATAAGACAGAATTGCACAGTATAAAATATGAAAAATGAATGATTTTCATTGAATAATAAAATATTGCTCATAGTCATCGTTAGCTGAAATTTTAGGCTTTGTTATTAGCATTTTAAGGTGATATCAACATTTTTAACATGGCAGTCTAGGGCTCTTTTCTAATTTTTGGAAAGCATGTTTTTCTTCTGGGCCAAGGCCATTTCTTTTGGTATGCGAGAACTTGCTTTTTCAGCAACTAAACAATAGAGAGCATATTCTGAAAAGTCCTTGAATACACTTGCAAGTTTTAATGATACAAACCTGGCTGAGAAAGAGAATGATGTAACCCAAAAATTTGTCACGTGTGGAATGTTATCTGTAATCAATGTTCTATTTTGTTCAATTCTCATATGTAATCAATGTCTTTTATTGTTTGATTATTTGCTTTCTGACGTATCACATATACTGAATGTATGTATCATTTGTTTCTGTACCCTATAAAAAGACTTGACCCCCTTAATAAATGCTTTTTGCTTTGCCTGAATTACTTGGTGATTTGTATTTTCGGGTAGGCTAAGAAGTCACCCTTGCAAAGGTAAAATTGTTTTCTCTCCCAAATTCAGGGAATAGGTCTTCAGTTCCTTGCCACTCGGGGTACCTGAGTTTTAAAGGCAACAGTCGTGGGCTGTAGCTTCATAAAGAAATAACTTCATTGTTTTAGAAACTGAGTTTTTGGAGTAATGATTTAAGGAGAAATCCTCATTCCTTTACTAGGCTTTTGTTCTGGGAAGACATGAGTAACAACTGAGGGCCACATGGTAGGAAATTGTTAAAGTGCATATTTACTAGAGCACACTATAAAACGTTTGTGGCTGAGTTTCAAGAGGATGCGGTTTCTGCAGCGGACATTTGACAGCAGGTAGAAAAGTCGTACCTTGAAAAGGGGAAGAGGAATGGTTTTGAGGTATTCAGAGACCATCGTGTGACCCAATTATGAGACCACTTACAACCCTAGTGTAACCAAAAGCTAATTAACATAGTAAAACGCACACCCCTAAGGTGGAAATTTTAGAAAACATAGAACATGCTAAGCTTATTATGGGATGTTAGTGTGTAACATGGAATCAAGTGCGTCTGTGCAACTATATAACCATTCATGTTTTTTATATGCCTACTTCCCTATTTCTGAAAAGTATAAAGATTGATGTAACATTTTGCTCAAAGTTCCTCTCCTTGGAGAGACAGGACCCTTTTTGCTGAAGTGCTTCAATAAAAAGATTAAAAGGATTCCCCGACTC